TCCAGACGAGGGGCTTTGGGGGGGTCCAGACGAGGCGTCGCCCCTCAACACCCCAACATCGTCACTGTATCATATCATCCTCAAAACCGCAACACCCTAACAGCGTCACCGTCTCTTATCATCATCAAATCCTAACCACACTAACATCGTCACCGTATCATATCATCGTCAAATCCTCAACACCCCAACATCATCACCTTATCATATCATCCTCAAATCCTCAACTTCCTAACATCGTCACCGTATCATATCATCCTCAAATCCTCAACACCCTAACATCGTCACCGTATCATATCATCCTCAAATCCTCAACAGGCCTAGCATCATCACCGTGTCATTTAATCCTCAAATCCTCAACAAGCCTAGCATCATCACATATCATCACCGTGTCATATCATCATCAAATCCTCAACAGCCTAGCATCATCACCGTGTCATTTCATCCTCAAATCCTCAACAGGCCTTGCATCATCACATATCATCACCGTGTCATATCATCCTCAAACCCTCAACACCCTAACATCATCACCGTATCATTTCATCCTCAAATCCTCAACAGGCCTAGCAACATCACCGTGTCATTTCATCCTCAAATCCTCAACACCCTAACATCATCACCGTGTCATTTCATCCTCAAATTGTGAACACACTAACATCGTCACCGTATCATATCATCCTCAAATCCTCAACACCCTAACATCATCACCATGTCATTTCATCCTCCAATCCTCAACAGGCCCTAGCATCATCACCGTGTTATTTCATCCTCAAATCATCAACACCCTAACATCATCACCGCTATCATCCTCAAATCTTCAACACCCTAACATCATCACAGAATCGTCCTCATGTCCCGTCATCACCGCAGCATCAACATTGGAAGCAACTTCAACTGATTTTTCACATCCCACCCCACCCCGCCACCCTAGCCCACCACACCTTCCTACATGATAAGAAAGACATATTCAAATATAAAACAAAAATAGGCGCAAGAAAAAATTGTCAAAATCAACAAAAACCTGGGAAAATGGAGAAAAACACAAACACATGAGGCAAATTATCAACACGCCTCCTGAAATAAGGTACGAGTAAGGTCATGTTATATGTTTAACAATTAGGTCGTGGTGGGGCGGTTGCGATTTACCCATAATTATATAATACGTAGTGAATAAGAATATCTAATAGGAACCGGATGGAACCGGCTTGCAGAGGATTGCCAAAATAGGATGATTCGGTCTGTAGGGCTATTTGAAACATTCAAGAAGTGCACTTCCAACTGTTTTGTAAAACATTTCCATGCAGATGGCGACGGCAACACGAGCTGCATGACTATGTTACAGCGGTCGAGCATTGAGGGATGTTAGATGATGTTAGCACATCGGCAACGGGCTCTGCATCTTCTGATCTTCCACACGCCGGCGTAACACCAGGGCAATGCTGCATAGTCACACTGATAGGGAAAACCACTACAGCACCAGCACTGCTTTCTACAAGTAGCATGCAGTGTACAATGTCAGACTCTGCCTGGCTGGAATCTCAGTCTCTTCCTCGCAGATAGCGATCCCCAAACTGTTGGCCCCACGGCCGGTCTTAGATTGGCAAATTGGCTACTTAAACCATCTCAAGCTCTTTCATTCTAGTTTCACCTTTACCTTATGGAGGTGCCTGCCTCATCAGAAGCACGAACCAGAATGAGAAAAAAGTAAGAATCTGAACTCCTGAGTCCTCGAGGTCCTACCCAAAATTCAGAAAAAAAATATATAAACAGGCAAGACTTGGAGGGGCCGTAGACCCCGAACTTTAAGGTCCTCATACAGCACTCGGGCTGTATGTCGATATGTTTATATAAATGCAGATTTTACGTCATGCTAATAATATAACATGAATTACAATAATTCTGCAGCTCTCTCTCCTCTCTGGATACTCTGGAAACTTGCTGCAGATCATCGTAGATCTAAAGGGCGGATATAGCACAAATGTCAATGGCAACCTGAACGCTAGTGTGTTCTAGTCACATTGATGGGTACAGTACAGTTCCCAAGAAAGAAGTGAAAGAAGAAAACAAAAACTTGTTGAAAATGTCATTGTATACATGTATTTACATGTATATAATATATAATAATAGGCAAATGATGATGATGTATATATATATATTATATAACTATATTATAATATCATAATTACTATACATATAATATATATATATCATTATATATACGGATATCATTATATATATCTCTCTCTCTCTTTCAATTTCAATCGCTCAAGGGCCTATCATGGTTGAACACTACAGAGCAGCATCAACACATCCCTCGACCGCGCTCTGCAGGCGCGCTCCACGCGTCCAAAAAAAAAGGCCCTGTGGGGCCAGGATGGGCGCACCAGGCGCACCAGGCGCTACTTTGCTCACTGGAAGCGCCGCTGTCTCAGTAGTATGGTGATCGTCCAAACGCATGTTTCCGGGCCATGTCCATCTGCACCTGCATGCTGGGACTCAGCAGGGCTTTCGCAAAACTCACCGTTGATATTCAATGTGCAATAAGGGAAAACATATCTTAAAAGATCCCAGTTGCTGCATGTTCTTGCAATGGGGCTCAATCAAGTTCGATAGATTTCTATGTGTACCACAATGAAATCATCCGACCCCAATGAATTCGGACCTCCAAGTCGCGGCAACTAGAGGTCTGCCTAAGTTGATGTGAAAATGACGTCGGGGAACTGACACAACTGGAACGAACCCGTTCTGGGGCAATGGTTTGCAGACACGGTGTTTGCTTGTCACATAAGTGAAATCACAGCTCAACGAGCTTGCCGTTGCAGTGATATCGCGTCAATGTCGCATTGATATGCGTGAATTATATACCGTATTATACCGTATTGTATTGTATTGCATTGCATTGCATTGCGTTGCATTGCATGTATTGTATTTGTATTGTATTGTATTGTATTATAGTGTATTGTATTGTAGTGTATTGTATTATACCGTGATATTATTGCATATGGCTTGCATAAGCCAAGAAACACTAGAGCCCCGCTGCTTCCACCACTTCCACCCAACATGCCAAAGATGTCGAGCTGAGGCGGCTCCAAGAGAGGCACTGCAGGCAAAGGTGCGGCAAATGGATGCACGTTGAGTCCTTGGCTGTCAAATCGTCTGATCAGATCTGATCGGATCTGATCGGTGCAGCCTGTGAGCTACCTCACCCCTTGTTCTCCGAAATCAGTTGGTGACAAGGCAAGTTTTACCCCACCATCTACTGCTTGAAACCAGGACTACTCTTGCTTTCGACACTTTTCACCAGTTATTCACCTGTCCAGCTGATGTGTTTCAGCGTCGTGGAATGTTGGAGTTCCTCGGGCTGCCGCTTGGGGATTCCGAAAGCACAGTCGCACTTTTGCCGATCAGTTTGGCTCCGCTCTTTGTAGCTTCGCCTGCCTGGCGGACCATCATGAACCACAAATCAAGCCTTGTAACATTAACACTTGTCAGGTCACAACGCCGCGATTCAAATAGCATGTTGAGTCTAGGTGAGTGCATTGGCATCATCACGTAAAAGCCTCGGATTATGTATGAGGTGCTGGTAGCATTGGTATTGCTCATCAGTATCAAATAGTCATTGCGTACCTTGAAACTCGAAGACACTACTTCTCCACCCTTAATGGTTCTCAAGATGTTACATGATTCAACTAGAAAGAATACCACTGCTGCATTTGAATTGCCCAGTGGCTCTTTTGACAAACTCCTATTAGTAAGGCCAGGAGAAAGAATTGCACAACATTTCAAAACTGCTACACAACATCATACGACAATGTGGCTACACTGTACACTCTGCTTCTGGCATCCATTGCATCATGAAAGGCGACAATACAAGGCCACGCCCACGCCTGAAGATTTGTCAAGTCGCGCCAGATTTGAAAGATCGAAGGCCGCTCCTGGGGCAGCATCATCAGCATCGGTTCAGCATCGGTGAAGATTGATGGGAGATTGAAGTCTCAGAGAGTCAGAGACTCTCATGTCTGAAACGATGGAGGCAACAGAACCCATGCTATACAGGTAATTACGTCTTGATTTCATGAATTTCTCCTTCACCAAGTGTTCAGAGTGCAGGAGCTGCAGAAGACATCAGCACTGCGTGTCCTGTGGGTCGAACTTCCGGCAGGCCTCAGCAAGGCTCCTCACACCGATCATGTAGCCCGGAGGCCAATCTTCTGGTGGCAGCCGCCTCAGTTCCAACTCCACAGTTGACCGTTGATTCATCCCTCCAGCCCTCCACACTTGGGGGGTTCCTATGGATTCCTCTGTTCCCACCAATCCATGGAAACGTCCACAATCAACGGCATGTCAAGGCTCCCCTTGGTCAGGGCGTCAGTCATCTCGTGGCGTTTCAGTTCCGCCAATGGCAGGCGTCCAGAGACCACAAAGAAGGCCACCTGGCCGTAGCCTTGCAAAGATGGTCAAAGGATGTCAAAGGCGTGTCATGCATTGAGTCTTGTGATTAAAGTCCTTTCTAGCTAAACTGGACATTCTGGGTTTTTATGGATTTCCTATCGTTCAAAAAGCTCGTTGTTCTGCTTACCTGCTTCGGTTTGAACTTCTCGTCTCTTGACTGCAATAGCTAGTTCATTATCTTGTCCTTCTGTCCGGCCCATCTTCGGGCCGTCTGTCTGTAATTGTGTCTCTTTCTTTATCCCCGTGGGGTGCACCTCTCCACCCGGAGCCAAATTTTATCGAATCATCATGGTTGCTCTAGATTTGTTTGACACAAGATACACAAGGAAAAGTCTTGACCCACAGCCCTAAGGTTTTCACTCCAAAGTCTGCGCCCACCTCCACCCCGGAGTGCTGACAGCTTCTGACTTCAACCCAATTTGAATCTACAACCAAGATCTTTCAACATCTCTCACGCATCCTGTTCAAAATCTTCCTTCATGTTTGTGGTGTGATTTCTAATCTTGCATCATCATCGTCATCATCATCATCATCATCACCATCTGGGTCGAAAACGTGGGCACAACATGTTGGACTAGTTGTCCTCTAAAGGCGAAAAACCTGGGTCACCACAATACCATGAATTTTTATAATCACCATGTTCCCAGGCTAAAAACCTAGAACCCTAAGATATAAGATAAAAATGTGAAAAAGGCTGAAAACATGGGGCACTAGATATCATATATATGTTGATATAAAGCTGGATAGGTTCTTTGCCCTTGTCATTGGGCGAAAATCATGGGTCTCCGGGCTATGGTTTTCAGCCAGGGACCCCCAACGGGGGTTTTCTTTCTACCTGTCTCTTACAACTGCAGTTGTATGGAAGCGCCAAGGGAAACCTGACTTGGTGCTGTAAGAATGGAGGTCTCATTTGCAGAAAGTGTCTCGAGTGTCAGTTTTTTGCATTGCAAAGCCCCGGAAACAACTTCGAACTCCGCCTGGTAACAACCCTCTGATTGTTAGCATTACATGAATCCCCAAAGAAGTGCATTGAAAGATATTGAAAGCGATTCCTCTATGCAACAGGATTTCACTATGATTTCACAAGGATCCTTCTGATCGCATCAAGACACTGTAGGAGTCTGCTGGCGTAGAAGGCGACCAGCTACCTGCCAGGGTGGAGCCATCAGAAAAGTCCCTTCTCTGCATGAACGAAAGGGTCTGCACAAAACAAAACGTCAACACGGCTATCAGTTCAAACCCTGTTGCAATGGTAAAAGTCAAAATAGACGGCAAATGTTCATCCCATATATCACAATACATCATCCAACTGTGGCAATCCACAGCCGTGGCCCAGCCATGTCTTTGCTCGTCGCCTCCCAGCACCTCTGGAGCGCACCAACGCAAGGTGCCGCCCATGCCAGCAGCCTCGGTCAATTTAGATGTCAGCAGTAGTTGATAGTGGTTGATAGATGTCAATAGTGGCCAATAAGTAATAATGGTTAATACTTGTAGTGGTTGATACATGTTAATAGTAGGTTGCGAAAGCGATCACAGGTGCGAGATGAAGATAATTCATGAGGTCCATGTGATTCCATGGACAAAGCCTTGACAAGAAAAGGCAGGCCCTGCGACCCGACTTCAGATAGAAATGGAGTGGCTTTAGATGGCTTTAGATGGCTTACTCTTGGAGTCTTGGAGCACACAAGTTTAGCACGTTGTTTTTACGTTTTTTTGCCAGAGGTAGCCACAAGCATAATCGTGGCCGCAACATAAATACAGCTTCGTGACCGACTTGGTGGCACGGCGCGCCAAACCGAAATCTCCCAACTTTGTGAGATGCATATCCTTTCTGCTCTCCTAAGCAAGGCTGGGGGACCCAAGACTATATAGACTTTGACCTACTACAAACATATTCAAACTAAGAATTACAAGATATTACAAGAAGACTTGGAATGGAATTATCAAGTCCGGATTTTTGCTGTTGTCTGATACTTTGTGACAGGTCGGCAACACCATTGTATACCATAATCGTATATATTGATATATATTGTGTATGTATATTATAAATACGTACCTAAATTACGTTATTAGAGTTATATCATGTTATATCATGTCACTTTAAAATAAATACGAGCAGCCCCAAGCCAGTTTTGAATTGCACAGGGTCCCCAATGAACACTGGCTAGGGTCCCTGAGGTGAGGGGTCCGTGAGGGGTCCCCGAGGGGTCCCCGACAGGTCCCTGAGGCCCGTGCCACATAGATGTTGTCGCCCTTCAAATCTCCATGAACGACAGCAGGCTGCAAAGAATGTAAATAAACCAACGCCTAGAGCAGATCTGGCAGGATGCCAACAGATGCCAACTGATGCCAACTGATGCCAACTGATGCCGATGCCAACTGGAAATCTGCTGGAAGCTGCTGGAAATCTGCTGGGCATATCTGGACATGCCATGTGCTGAGAGAAGCAGAGCATACTTGCCTTGGCAATATCAAGAAGTATCTGAAGACGGACATCCTCTTCAGGATTCTCACTGGGTATGAACTTGGTGAGAGTTCTCCTGGTCAGGTGAAGAACTTGCAAACTACTACCGTCTAGTGAGATCTCGAGCTCTGATCATCCTCACTCTTTGGGAGCGATGATTGATGAGCTAGTGCTAACAATTAATGTTGATAACTATTGAATATATTTTGATCAGAGAATCCATGGCTGCACTGCAGTGGACATGCGAGGACTGCGAGGAACAAGGTATGAAAGCCAGTGGGAAAGTCTTGGCGTTTCACAGTGCAATATGCTGCAATGCAGTTCTCTCCACCCGGCATGGAACCGTTTCAGGCCGTCCCGGTCATCTTCTCAAAGACCAACATCAGTTCCAGACTCTCTGCATCCACCGTGGTTCCAAAGAAGGAAACCTAAGGGAGAAACAAAAACCATCATGAACTGGCCCAAAGCACTGTAAAACAGTAAAACACTAAAAAAAAAGTAATAATAATAGTAATAATAACAATCATAATTATACTTGAAAAGATTGCTCTTGCAGTCCAAAGCTGGAAAGCCTTTGCAGAGCTCAGCACATGCAAATTTCATGTTCAACGCACAACTGTCCACAAGCCGTGCAACTGTTCAGGGTCACTGCCACAGCAAGGCGTTTTTCCTTCACTTTCCAGTCACCGGTGGGTGAACCATGAGATGCCAATGGCTACTATAGGCTGCTCTTACTCCACAGGAACTGGCTGCCCACTCACTCGTCCTTGGTCTTGGGCGGCGCAAGCGGAAACCAAAAGGTGTCCTTGCTCTGCCGGCGGCTGGGGTCGTTGGCAGGCGTGCTCAAATCAACCTCCAGCGTATCACCGGTACTCTTCATCCAGTCCTGCAAGTCTTCATCCAATTTCACCCTGCCCAAATTCTGGCGCTTCAACTCCGACCTTTTCACAATCACTTGTTCACCCAAATACTTCACCTCGACCTCGTCGCTCTGGAGAGTCTTCTTGAACCATGTCTTCCCTGGCAAACGCACCACCTTCACAATGCCATCAGTTGGGATAGAAGGATTGGAGCCGGTGAAGAGGACCCGCTCTGCGAGTTCAAACTCCTTGCTGCGACACTTGCCATGGTAGCGCATTGCATTGGGATACTCAGAGCCAAGGTCAGTGGGCGCCTTCATCTGAAAGAGCTTCAAGGGATCCTCAGAAAAGGCATTGTGGAACTTGAATTTCGCGCCTTTGATGGCCTTGTAGATTTTGGACTCTTCAAAGTGCTCCGGATCCTGCTGCGCATCTTCTTCGAACATTTTGCCTGTATCCTCGAGTTCCTGCACGGTCATATTGATCTTCTTCTCGGCTCCTCGAAAGTCGGCTGCAACAACTTGGAATTTATCTGGCATCTCATCACCAGGGCAACTCCAAGTGCATTTGTGCAGCCCTGTCTCATCGAGTTCATAGCTCAAGTCTCCTGCACAAAGGACCTTGCCACATTGGCCCAGCTTCATAGCATCAAGACCTTTCTCCGCCACAGCAGCACCATGCTTCAAGACAGTTGCACTCCCAACGAGGCGAAGTAGTTGGGCGAAGGCCTTCATGTCTTTCCCTTTTGCCTTCTGCAGCAGATCTTGAAATTCGGGGTGGTCTTTGTGAATCAGGTCTGGTCCAGCGGCCTTCACTTGATCCACACATTCCTTCAGCTGGTCAGCTTCCGGCTGTCCAAACTTGCTTCCAAAGAGAAAGTATCCCAACTTCTCGCGGTTGATCATTTCCTTTGAGCCCATGAAGGCACGGAAGTGTTCGGAAGTGGCTGCCGACAGATCCAGCAAACTGTGGAACCCATCGTCAGCTCTGGGTGCTTCTATTGACTCCGAGTCGTCCATGGAGTGCTGCTGCGGCGATTCCAAGTAGCTGCTTCTGTGGTCTCTGCGATGATGCAGGCTCGCCCTCAACGACAGAGAGAGACACGTATCGTAGATTTCCGCACAACAACAGCAACATATGAGAAGACACATAAGATCATCTCCACGGGTTGTTGGATCTGCCAGCTCTTCATATGCTCCACGCAGGGTCTCGGCAAACTGAGAGCTCACGCCAAAGGTTTTCTCCAAGTCAACATTCTCCTTCACCATCTGGGTAATGGAAGCTGTGGACATGTCCACCTTGCCACTCAAAAGGCGGGCGCTGGCGGTGTCCACAGCAATGCGCGGCATTTTGAAAGGGTTTTGCAGACAAAGGGCGGGGGCAAGCAAATGAAAGAAACGGATAGCCCCGGTATCAGCTGAGCCGAATGGGAAGCAAAAACAGCGCAAAACTGATCAGCTCTCATGTCAGACATCAGAGAGTTGGCGCGGATTCTGGCCCTGACCAAATCAAGAGCACCATCATGGCGCTGTAAGAAGCTGCACGATCAGTCGTGATATGTCAAATTCTTCAAGCGGCCTTGAAGATTTTTCATGATTTTTCTGTCGAAACTTAAGATGTGTGTCCATGGATGAAAATTATCTTAAGTCGATTGTGAGCTCAAAGCAACAAACCCATGTCAATAGATCACGCCTCGCTAAGCGGCAACAGACTCTGCAACAACGTTCAGTATATTTTCTAGACCAAGCAACAAGATTTGGATGTCGAACTTGTCGCAAGAGGCGCAGCTCTGACAAATAGTTCCTGACCACTGCTGACCAAACACATCTGTAATGCCTCCAATGCTTTCAACCGTCTTTGACAAGAATCTATCGGCGAAAGGACCGAGGCTAGACGCAACGTAATCATACCCAAACATAACACCAAAACCCTGCAGAGTTCCATCCCCTTCCAGCTTGCAATGATCTGCGACGTCCGACTGCACCCTGTTGGCAGCTGCAGCAACAATAGTGCATTCAAGCATCATGAAGAGAATATATTCCCTGGACTCAGCATTCTGAAATTTGCAGTCTTTGATTCCTTTCCTGACAATTTCACGCAAACTCCAAGTAGCAGCCAGTGATGAAGCGCAATACTGCATGTTTGCCTCACACCTGGAAAATGGCGCTAACAACAATTCACCTTCAGAATCTGGTCCCACTGTCCCAGTCCTCGGAAACTTCAAGGCCACGGTTGCGCCACAGAAAGTGCCCTCCAGTACGAGGTTTGATCACTTGATACTTCATGCACCAAGACACATTGTTTGTTTCATGGTTGCTTCCTAAAGTTTGGACGCCCAAAGTTCCAAAAGCATTGGATCTTTGAATTTCCACTGCAATTAAATCCCGAAGACAGTTTGATCGGTTTGATCAGTTCCTATCCCGTGGTTTCAAATCATCTCCTGCCAATTGGCTCTGACCAGTCCTGGCTGCCGGCCTCACAAACGAGGCCAAAGCCACCAGAGCCCAACAGTTTGGTGCTGTGCAGCTGGAGGAGCTCTGGAGGGATGAGCCAATGTTCTTTGTGGCCAATCTCCTGAGCACAGACAAAATGGAAGAGATTGGAGGAGCACCTGGATTTATATGGGTGGCCTGCAATATATGCCGGGATCTAGGACTTATCTGGGTGCAAGGCAATGGCGGAAGTTTCAAAGATAGGAAACCTATAGGAGAGGTGAGTTGGTGTGATTCATGCATGGCAGAGCGAACTGATGGACCGAAGGTGTCTGAGGCTCTGAGTCCCTCTCTCTCTCTCTCTATCTGTCTGTCTGTGTGTGTGCCTACCTGTCTGCCTTTCACCTGCCTTTCGCCTGCCTGCCTGCCTGGCTGGCTGGCTGGCTGTCTGTGCCTGTCTGTCTGTCTATCTGTCTGTCTGCCTGCCTGCCTGCCTGGCTGGCTGGTTGGCTGTCTGTCTGTCTGTCTGGCTGTCTGTCTGTCTGTCTCTCTCTCTGTCTGTCTCTCTGTGCATCTATCTTTTTATCCGACTATCTGTCTATTTGACTATCTGTCTGTCTATCTCTTTCTTTTTGTCTATCTACTATCTACCTACCTTCCTACCTACCTATCTGGAAGCAATTATGCGAGACTCTGCGAGACTTCCTTCAAAACTTTCTTCGCAAATGGAAAAAGTGGAGTGCAGAGCTGGCGGCCTCGCCAGTACCAATGCGTTTTGCGATTTTTTCACACTCCATGTGTCTGAAGCATTGCGCTTGCCACAAAAAAAGTGAAGCCAAGTCATACGACGTGCTGCACCAGTCACACAAAATCACCTCAGCAAACTTGAAGATCTGATGCTCCGAAATGCACCCCGCCTCAGGAAATCAGCGCCCTGACCCCCCAACATGTCTGACGGAGACGTGTCTTGTTGTACTGCGCCTGCCATGCAAAATGCATCTTTCCAGGTCCTCAAACGTCCCACGCCTGCCATCGTTTTTGAAACTGCTACAAACTCTCACGTTTTGCTCACTTTTGGTAAAGTGCAGAATCCCTTGCGCTTGCCACAGAAAATGGCGATTGAACGTTCAAAAGTCCATTGTGCGCAGTTTTTGAACATCTCAACTTCCAGAAGCGGTCCGACCCAGAGATGTTTTTAGCATTTTAGCACTTTGACTGCGACACGCGCTTCGCGCCACAAAGCGTGCACTTTTGAGCATCTCAACCTCCAAAAGTGCCCCGATACTACAGTGTTTTGAAATGTTTTCAACTTGTTCACTTCCAAATATTCCAGATGCGCTTCGTGCCACACTGCCGTGCGCTTGTCGAACATCTCAAGTGCCAAAAGTGCTCCGAACATGATGTGCTTTGCACGTTTTGACTATGCACTTCGCGCCACACTGGCGTGCACTTTTAGAACATCTTAACTTCTAAAAGTGCTCCAAACATGAGGTGCCTTTGGCATTTTGACTTCAAAATGCGCTTCACACCACAGCGGCCTGCAATTTTTGATCTTTCATACGACCAAATGGCTCCGCACCCCGCCGCTTTGGCGAGCCTACTTTTCGACCCTCCGGAGCCACACAACCATGAAAAAAACAGAGTGTTTCGCTACTTTTGTACCTTTTTGCGCACCTTGATCTTCTTTCTGCTGACTCTTTCTCTTCTGACTCTTTTTCTTCTCTGACTGCTCTCACCACTGTTGCTCCACCTTTCCATAAGTCGGAAGTTTGACTTCCAAACGTCCTTCGATCATCTTCGATCATCCAATTTCCTGTAAACAGTTGGGGCGGTATGGAGATCAGGCGATGATTCGGTTCGACTAAATTGGCTCGCCTTATATAATTTACAATATACTGGTATTTGTGTAATGACATGTACTGACTGACTGACTGACTGACTGCCTGGCTGGCTGGCTGGCTGGCTGGCTGACTGACTCACTCACTCACTCACACACTGACTGACTGACTGACTGACTGACTGACGGACGGACGGACGGACGGACGGACGGACGGACGGACTGACTGACTGACTGACTGACTGGCTGGCTGGCTGGCTGGCTGGTTGACTCACTCACTCACTCACTGACTGACTGACTGACTGACTGACTGACCATGAATTTTAGGGGATATCTATTCGCAGGTTTTGAGTGGCTTTGGACAGGTTCAAAACCAGGCGGTTGACTTCAAAAAGTTTAAAAACCGAGTTGTGAAATTTACTTTCTAAAGAAAGGTGCAGTTGCACACTTCGTTTCTGCTCAATTATGATAGAAATGAATAGAAATGATGTGTCTGTACTATTGTGTAATTCTCTCTGACCCTGAATTATTATCCTTTGTGGCATCCGCGGAATTCACCTTTCCGGGCCTACGTTTGAAGCCTATACAAACAAAGTGGATCAAAGTGGATGATGAATTTGGATGAATTTGGGCAAATGGCCCACAAGTTCCCAAGTCCATCCAAGTCCCATTTCTGCCAAGCCGCAAGCAAGCTCTTCATACCTCCGAAGCTAGAGAGAGTTCGATTGATCTACTTGGAATGCTCCGCGTCTTCACTTGCGACCCCCCTTTCAACTCTGTTGGAAGCAAACCTCTTCTGAAGCTGGAATCATTTTAAGATTGGCTCCCCTTGTGTCAAAATGGTGCATAATTGCAGATGAACGTTTATTTATAAAGAAAAATGTTCCTTGGGATCTGTTGAATGTCTCTTTTAAAGCCCTAAAACATCCTAAAACAAGAGGCAAACTCAGGATGTGAGCTGCAGATTTTGCCAGTGCCCATGAATCAACACCTAACCATTTCCACAAAGTCTGCGGCCTGTGCCGTTCAGCTCCAATCCGCCAAACAAAGCCCCTGTGCGACGATTCTGGGGTTGCAAAAGCACGTGCACACAGCCTTCATCAGTCTTCATCAGTCTTCATCAGTCTTCATCAGTCTTCCAGAATCTTCCAGAATCTTCTCTCAAGATTCTCAAGAACAAGTCTTGTGTGTTTCGTGTGGGCTCAGATGTTTTCCTTAATTGTCTCTTCCATGGCAAAGTGGATCCAAAATGGGCGCAAATCCGCAGGCCACCATGGGACGGCAATATGGCACCAGTCCCAGCCTGTCACTGTGGTGTCTGCCACTGAGTGACAATTTGAGCTGCTGCTGCTTCCTCGGGTGAGCCTCAGGAATCTCAGGACACCTCCTTTTCGGGGGGGTGTCGGAATGGTTTTCGATATCTGATTTTCATACTGTTTCGATATCTGAAGTAATTACTGAAGTAATCATGTCATTTTAGTTACCCTCTGGTAAACTAACATAGCTATTGAAAATGGCCATTTATAGTGGATTTACCCATTAAAAATGGTGATTTTCCATAGTTATGTTAAATTACCAGAGGGTATTTCATGTTTGGACACCTGAGGTCAATCACCAAGGAACGGAATCTGTGGCACCGTTTGCGGGAGCACTTCGGAGGGTGGGTCCATTGTATGGTCCACTCGCACGGCAATCAGAAAGGTGGCCAAGAGTGTCCTCAGGTCACACAGCCATCCTTTCCCCTGTGATCTGTGAGCAAACCCAAGTTGAAGCTTAATTGTGGCATATCACTGCCTGCATCTGCTTACAAAAGCAGGTCCTTGAAAAGTTCTGTTCCATCCTATTTCCCCATCCCGCTTCTCACTTGTTCAATATCTTGCCATGCCTTGTGAATGCGGCCATGCATCTGCTCTTTGCGGAGGGCTTCCGCAGGACAATCGTCAACCAGACCTTCCGGTCTGCGGACCACAAGCAAATGCGCTTGCATCTCCTGTGGGGCAAACATGCCAAAAAATGCCAGAAACAGCCATGGATGTTGAGTGCATAGGAAAATGCCAAGAAGTTGGGTAGTACCAATGCCACTCGGAACCTAGAGTCTCTTAGTTCGTTCCTGCCGCATTTGTTCTGTCACTGGAACTGAGATGGAGCAAAGCCAAGGGAGTCATCGTTGGCCCAAGCTAACATGCCATCAGCGATCAGGGGGTGTTTCACCCAGGAAATCCTGGCATTGCAACAGTTTTGCTTCCAGTGCGCCTCTTGTGCTAAGCCTACCAAGCGAGTTGGAAGAAGCAATGGCTGCAGCTCTTTCGCTTCTGCCAACGATTTCCGCAATTTCGCAGAGTTGTCACCTGATTGAATCAGACTGACAAGTCGAGCCTGTCTCATGGTGCCCGCAATCTCTGTCAGTCAATCCAATAATGCCTTCTGCATGTTGCTTATAAACTTCGAGGAACGCTCTCAATCTCAATAGCATACATGAACATCCATAAACAGTCTGTGATAGTCTGTGGTTTGCCGCCTTATCATATTTATCATTGCTTCCTTTCGTTCCTGTCATTCCTTTGCTTCTGCAATGCGTCCAAGGCACAAAGAAAGCCGTCCAGCTGGTCACCCACTGCCAGAGCACGTCCCAGAAGACCAGAAGCCCTTGGACTTGGCTTCAACACCTCGAGGCCAGGCATGGCTGTCAGGTGAACATGGGAAGAATATATGTTATTATATAGGCATTGCATATAATATCATTCTATATTCTATAATTATTAATTATATATCATTACTATATTATATATCATTATAATTCGTTTTAGATCTTGTCTTATATTATGCTTTTATATGTTGGGTGTTTTTGCACATTGGAGGGATGCGAAACTACGCCCACCGCAAGGTGTTCGTTTCCGAGGCACCTTGAATGTGGTCTCCATCTGGTGGTTCCCGTCTTCCACGGCCCCAATCAGCAAGTCAAAGTCACAGGTCATGGCAATCAGCTCTTCCAAGACAGTTGTTTCCTCGCGATAAGAAGATATAAGAAGCTTGTGGGAGCTCTCCCTTGGTATCTGTGTTGTCTGCGTAGCTTGAAAATGATTGAAATGGATTGCTACATGGATAGCTTAAGCGGATCCTCCTAATTACTCTGGGAATCTCTGGCATCTATGAGTGGGACAAGAGGGGCTGTCAGGGTGATCTCTTCCGAGCTCACCATGTAGGCTGGAAAAAAGAAGAATGAGAAAGATATCACCTGAGAAAAAAATGTCCAAACAAGTTCAAAGATGGTTCAAAGTGACCATCTTCGCTCGACTTTCCGCCATCCACATTTGCCACAGGAAAGTGTTCAACTGCACAACAGCACCGAAGCTGACGACTGTGAACAAGGCAAAGTTGATCAAGTGGTCTCGAACCGCGAAGGAAGTCTGCAGCAAATCAAACTTCAAAGTCTGCATGTATGGATCTTTGATGAGGTTTGCAGAATTTGTTAGATATATGGTTTTTGAATGTTTTTGATGGGTTTTTTTTCATATTTTTTCTGATCTGTCTGTTCTGTCTCCGCTCCTGTGCATACCTTGTCCGTTTCTCTCGACTGCACGAGGCAATGTTTGGCATCCACGGCCTGGTCCATGGAGCACGCCACGGTGTGGCAACTCAGCACGGCCAGAAGGAAAATGCCTAACGGAACGCATCGGAACGCTTGGCAGCGTCCTGAAATGTCAAAGAACCACAGAGATTGGAGCTCCGTATGGTCATTCGTACGATATTCGTACGCTTCAAAGAAAAGAATATCCACAAGAAGGCTGCAACAGTGGCAACAGTATGGAAAAGTGCCTTCGACTGCTTTGAATGCTCATGGATCACCAAAATCATCCAAAATTCTGGACCCGACTTTGCTGTCCCGTAGATTGTGGCATTCTGCCCTGCATCGATGTTCTGGGATGATCCAAGTTAACCCCTGGCCGCAGCCCACGGTGCTGCGGCGCCTGCCAAAAGGGGCCTCCAGCCGAAACCAGCGGTGCCAAGGGACCAAAACATGTGACTACCAGCCAACCATGACCTCACAGGGCCGCAAAAAGCAGTAGCATCAAGCCAAAAAGAGAAAACAGAAAGAACTCTGCACTACATAAGTGGAGAATATTGGAGATGATACAATATAATTGTAGAATATTCTAGAACATTATAGAAGACTCAAATTGAATCGAATGATAGATCATATACAAGATATATCAAGGCATCGCTTCTGTTCCTGCGGGTGACATCCGGTGACCCAAAAGATAGTTCCCTTACCTTCTGGGGAGACTGACTTGCTTGGGGTATGACCAGTCTGACCCCTCCCCTGCAGTGCCAAGAAATCAAATGCAAGGGACAGACACACCATCGGCTCCATAAAACTCATAGAGCCAAGCACATCCAGAAGTTGCAGTAGAAAGGCCAGGCAGCAGCTGCCAAGCTCCAGAAACAGAGGCCTTGCCGATAGAGTGCACTGTGGGTGTACATGGTCTACATGGTCTACCTGTGTCTGCCTACTAGCTTAGAAATGCTTCGCGCTTCGGTCCTTCATTCATCCTCTTGCAATATTTCATGAAATTCAAGATGGTACTCTTGTTCTCAGCACGGCTGCTTATTTCTTGATGTTTCTTTGGAGATTTTACAAAACTGGCATCTTCAAGGTGGGCATTCCGAAGGGGTCATGGCATGTCATGGCATGTCATGGCCTTTGCTGGAGACGCAAGAAGATTTCAGTCAATGCAGCCAAGAGAATCTGGAATGAGCAGCTCAAAATGCCTCCCACTTGCTCATGCAAATTGAGGAGTAGGGGCATAGCCGAGACAATCTCAGACTGTATTTCTCTAGATGCTGACTGCTAAGTATCTTTGCGCATGATTCCGAAGATTGCACCACAGTGGATGCTGGAGCTTGAAGTCTGCACCAGATGACGATACTGTTTAGGGCGGTACAGTAGCATCTGTGTTCCCACACTACCAGCCTAAGTAGTTTGGACCGGACAACAAGTGACAGAGCAAACGTAAAAAACCATAGATGATCACAATTCCTCAGCCAAGCTTTGCAACGATCGCTGGTTGGCTGGTTGCAAAAGTTTCGCGCGAAGTACACAAAAGTGAATGATCATGCAAACGATCGACGCAAGAAAACAGGAAAACGCAGGAAACATCACAGGGGTGACTGCAAATCCAGGCGATTTGCTGGTATTGTTTGGTGAGTTTGAGTGTTTAGTGTTCACCTGGTTGACCAAGTTAACCTCGGCTGTTGCAACCATGGCTAGAGGATCAAAAAAAAACAAATAAGGATCAAAAAAAACAAAAAATAAGGGGTCAAAAAAAAAAACAAATAAGGATCAAAAAGAAAACAAAAAATGTAGTTGTAGTAGAAGAAGTAGTAGTAGTAGTAGTACTAGTACTAGTACTAGTAGTAGTAGTAGTAGCAGCAGCAGCAGTAGTAGTAGTAGTCGTCGTCGTAGTCATAGTAGTAGTAGTAGTCGTCGTCGTCGTCGTCGTCGTGGTCGTCGTCGTCGTCGTCGTCGTCGTGGTCGTGGTCGTCGTCGTCGTCGTCGTCGTCGTCGTAGTAGGTAGTAGTAGGTAGTAGTAGGTAGTAGTAGGTAGTAGTAGGTAGTAGTAGGTAGTAGTAGGTAGTAGGTAGTAGGTAGTAGGTAGTAGGTAGTAGGTAGTAGTAGTAGTAGTAGTAGTAGTAGGTAGTAGTAGGTAGTAGTAGGTAGTAGTAGTAGTAGTAGTAGTAGTAGTAGTAGTAGTAGTAGGTAGTAGTAGGTAGTAGTAGGTAGTAGTAGGTAGTAGTAGGTAGTAGTAGTAGTAGTAGTAGTAGTAGTAGTAGGTAGTAGTAGTAGTAGTAGTAGTAGTAGTAGTAGTAGTAGTAGTAGTAGAAGTCGTAGTAGTCGTAGTAGTCGTAGTCGTAGTCGTAGTAGTAGTAGTATAGTAGTAGTCGTAGTAGTCGTAGTAGTCGTCGTAGTAGTAGTAGTCGTAGTAGTCGTAGTAGTCGTAGTAGTGGTAGTAGTCATAGTAGTCGTAGTAGTAATGGTACTAGTAGTAGTAATGGTACTAGTAGTAGTAATGGTACTAGTAGTAGTAATGGTACTAGTAGTAGTACTGGTACTAGTAGTAGTAATGGTACTAGTAATGGTACTAGTAATGGTAGTGGTAGTAGTAGTGGTAGTGGTAGTGGTAGTGGTAGTGGTAGTGGTAGTGGTAGTAGTAGTAGTAGTAGTAGTACTAGTACTAGTACTAGTAGTAGTAGTAGTAGTAGTAGTGGTAGTGGTAGTAGTAGTAGTAGGTGTTGTAGTAGTAGTAGTAGTAGTACCAGTAGTAGTAGTAGTAGTAGCAGTAGCAGTAGTAGCAGTAGTAGTAGTACTAGTACTAGTAGTAGTAATGTCAATGGTAGTAGTAATGGTAGTAGTAATGGTAGTAGTAATGGTAGTGGTAGTGGTAGTGGTAGTGGTAGTGGTAGTAGTAGTAGTAGTAGTAGCAGTAGGAGTAGCAGTAGTATCAGTAGTAGCAGCAGCAAGAATGAACATATTGAATATATTGAAAAAAACAAATAAACGATGCTTGCGAAAAAAAAGAAATAGAGTAGGTAGCAAAGGAAGCTGATGAAATAATAAAAGCGGGTGGGGGGGT